CGCACCTGTGTGCCGGCTTGCGAACATTTTCGCTGGCAATTTCCGTTTTGGCAGCAAGGCAAAATGAAAGAAAATTGTTGGAAAAAGGAAAAGCTTTCGCATTTGCTTTAGGGCTACCTTTTGGGAGCTGCCCACGCAGCATCCACTCGTAAATGTCAGAATTGGCGCACATTCGCGCTGGACGCCGGCTAATTTTAACACACAGGACGTATCTGTATCTATAGCTGGAACTGTGTATTTGTATCCGTGTCCGTATCTGTATCTGTATCTGCAGGCACAATAGCAGCTATCATCTATATTTAGTTACAACCACCTTCGGCCACGCCGGCCGCCAAATGTGGGCGAAAAGTTCAGACAGTAACAAAAATATTTTTGGCCCACGCAAAAATGCCAAAGCGATGCGCTTCTGTCGAGGGGGTGGGGGGGTTGCGGGTTGATTCCAATTCACGTACATACAATACATATACAAGGCCACGAGGCACGTGTGCATATATAAAGCTGACATTCCAAGACAGCAGAGCTTTCAAGCACAATACGCGAATTAATTGCGGTGCTTGAGCCGCCTATCGATATATTTTTGAATCAAAGCTGCAAAGTAATAAATTCTTATGTAAATATAAGTCAATATCTAGAAGAATCGCTTAGTTATTGATGCATGTGATTTGTATTTTTATACAAACTCAATAGCTGCAAAAAAGTTGATAGTTTTCTTAAAACTTTGTGTTATCGATACATCGATACATTTGAAAATGACTTAAATCGATAAGTGCACAGCAGACGATTTTGCCAGAGCTTTCGTGTGCTTTCCACAAGGAAAAGGCGATGAGCGAGAGAGAGCGAGAGCGAGAGAAAGAGAACGAGGTTGCGCGCAGCACCTTGCGCTCAAAAGTATGCTACATTGAGTGTGTGCAGCTGGTGCCTTTGTGTGTGTAAGTGTGTGTGTGTGTGTGTGTGTGTGTGGCACTGTTTGTTATTGTTGACACAAACGACCCTTATATGTCGTTTGTTGCAGTTACTACGACTTGCGGCAACAGCAACATGACTTGCCACACTCTGGCTGCAGCATGTAATTTGCCACTTTATCAAGTGCCACACAAGTGCAAAATTGTTTCCTCATATTTGTTATAAGCGGCTTCCACTCGGCCGACTAGATTGTTCTCAAAGTTGATACAAACAAACGCATTTATTATCAATGTACATGTGTTAGATTTATCCGTGTGCGTAAAAAGTTATATCTGCACCGTCTCCGTATCCTCATTTCCGTGTTTAAAACCCGTAAACAATACATTCACAATTGAAAGACTCGCTGTATATAAGAAAATCAGAATATAAGAATACTTATACTACCTATAATACATTTATAAAAATAACTTTTGAGTTCATGATCGATTCAATTATTATCAAATCAAATCCTCCAAGCGTTCAAGCCACACAGAAAACTCTATGGAGCGTCTTAAACTGGCAATTCCTAGTTTCTTTTTTGACTATTAACTGAATCTTGAGCCGAATCTTAGTAGCCTTAAATCTAGCCGAACCTTTTAAAGAAAAAGCTTCGTTTTATTCTCTCAATAACATATCCATAATAATTTCTGCAGGTTACATGTAAAATCATTTTCGATAAATTCAATGAGTCTTTAAATTAAGTATAGAAGTTAAATTATTTCGTAGTCAAACTATAAGAGTAACTAATTTTAGTACTACTTAATACTTTCGAGGGTTTCAAATTTTACTTCACTTGTTTGCATAAACCTTGTTATAAAAATCTAATGCCATACAGAGATATGTATATTCGTTTATTGAAGAATAACTATAAATGAACTGAAACTGATCTAAAAACAGAAGGGAAAACAAATTCTTTTGTATTATTCAGTACGAAACCTAGACCTAAAGCCGGCTAAACTGTCAACATTTTAAGTTTAAACCGAATCTTTTCAAAAACAAAACCTAGGTTTGTGGATGTAAAATGAAAAAATTGGTTCGAATCGTGAACTGAAGCAAGAACAAGGAAAATACCAAAATATTCTGTTCCGCTTTTACAAGTAAATTTATTTTCTTAAGTGAAATTCACAGAATAGGTGAATATATTGAAGTATATAGTCTATATAATATATAGTCTCTATAAGTCCTGTTTCTAACAGACAGTTACAGCTGTTTGTTATATATTTTCTTTATTGTTGTTAATTCTATGAACTGTTTTTAAATTTCATAGCTTTCAAAGATCGAACTTTTGCTAGTAAGAATAATTATGACAAAAATAAAGTATATATTTAAATGAATAATTTTATGTAAATCTAAATATTTTGAATGCTGATTTTAGGCGACCTTTCCATTTTTATATATTTTAATAGAATTAGGACGTCGAGTTAGCTTATAAATATTTATATTCTTTTCAATATTGCAAAGCTTAAAAGGGTTTATTTTTTTTTGCGATTTCGAAATGAGCTAAAAAGCGCATATACCCTGTTATTTGTCAACACGCTCAGCTGCGTACAAAAGGAGGCTAGGAAAAGCGCAGGCGCTCTCCCACGCACAGGAGGGCCACAGCTGCCGCTGGTCATGGAGCTGGAGCTGGAGCTGTTGTTGTTGTTGTTGCTGTTGTTTTTTTTTCTCGTTACGTTGTTGCCGATTTTTTGGCAATCAAATGCGAAATACTCAGCAACAACAACAACAACAACAACAATGAGAGCAACGAAATTCGCGCAGCATTTTCGTGTGCGCGCCGCACGCTCAGCTTCCACTGTATGGGTGCGTGAGTGTGCGTGTGTGTGCGTGTGTGCGTGCGGCAGGAATGCGTGGAAAAATAACTAAAAACTAAATTAAATCGACACGCAGCAGCAGCAGCCGCAGCGCCAATCAGTCCAGCCAAAACTAATGTCCAAAAAACTACTCACTTGAAATTGCCCAAAAATAGATAAGAGAAAGAATTAAAAAAATATGTGAATATATATATTGAGAGAACGTCAACAACTAATAAATAAATGCAAAACAAGGAAGTGCGTGTGCAACATATCAAAGTTTTTGTGTGGCCGCCTAAAAGCGTTCTAGAAAAATTCCATAAAAAAAACGAAAAAAAATAAATTTGCAAACAAGTACTCAAAGGCGTAGCCCCTGGCTTTGCCTGTCTTATTTCTTAGTTAATAACGAATAGAAGAATATTAGAATAATTCATATTTTTGGATTGAACCTACGCAAAACTCACGCTAAGAGAACTGTCGCGCCTTTGCAGCAAAGAGCTCAAATTCTTTTGAGAAAATGCAGTGCGCGGCGTCAGTTTGCATTTGTGGTAAGTGTCCTCGCTAAGCAGCGATTGCGTTAATCCTGCACATGTCGTAAATATTATTCAAAAAAAAAAGGACCTAGCCCAACCGCCTAATCAAACGCGCGTCGAGCTTGCCACTGTGTGTCTGTGTCTGTGTGTGTGTGTGTGTATATGTGTATGTGTGGCCACTAACAGGTGTTTGTGTGCCCCTGAGTGTAACTCAAAAAGAATACGAAACTCTCTTGTGAAATTCCAAATTTTTACTGATTTTATTTGCTAAAGTCCTAGACATTAAAGGCCAACAGCTAAGTCCTTTCTTCGATTCCCACCTGTATTATTAATAATGAAGGGCTTTTTCGCCCAAGAGATAGCAGAGATATTTAAGATACCATGAGAGTTAACATCTTCAAATTACAGTTAACATGCATGTTATCTTGTGTTACAGTTAACATGCATGTTATCTTGTGTTACAGTTAACATGCATGTTGTCTTGTGTTACAGTTAACATGCATGTTATCTTATGTTACCGTCAACCTGCATTTTATCTCATATTTCAGTTAACATGCATGTTATCTTATGTTACAGTCAACATGCATGTTATCTCATAGCACAGCGTTCGTTTTAAATCTCAATTTTCAACTATTGTATTAAATTTATTAGAACAACAATTATAACAATTAATTTATTTCATCAAATTTGAGCAAATATAATCAAATTGTTGTAAAACTATATGCACGGAACTCGCTGCAGTTGATATTTCTGATGATAATGATATCTGTTTAAGAGAATAAATAAGAATTATTTGGATTTAGATCTGTGAAAATATCTGAAAAGAAAAAGCGTTCAACCAGTCAAGTCTGTGTACACTTAATGATATAGTGTAAATATGCCAGCGATAGAATATATATAGTTCTATAAATCAAGATTACCTCAATATTTTCGAAATAATTGCTGATACAATTCGAATTCTCTAGGCGGAAAGGTCAACAAAAGGGCTCCATTGCATTTGCATTCGTTGATAATGCCGGCTCTTTGGCTATTTATTTCCGTTAAAATCTGTCGTTAGCTTTTGTGACATGTCGAATGTAAAATGTCAATTCCAATTCCAATTCCGAATTCCATAAAGGTCAAAAACTGTCAAATGACATTTTGTGCGGGTTCTAGAGATTTTGCAGACGTCAGATGTTTTCTACGAAATTGTGTGCACGTCGATTGCATTTGTGCTTAGCCAGCCGTATAAAATATCAAAGTTCAATTGAACTTGAAATCCAATCTGCATACACACACACACACACACTAATACGTATTTATATATATATATATATGTTTATATATACATTAGGAAGCTGCGAAATGCTAAATGTCATTTGTTACGTGCAAATGCGTCGGTAATTTTGGCGGGCGGGGTCGTCTCAAATTGGGCAAGTGAAAAGTTTGGCCAACTTATGTGTGTGTGTGTGTGGGCGTGGGCGTAATTAAAACACCTACACACACACACGCACACACACACACACACACGCACAATGACACCTACGCACACAGCTGTGCAGCCATAAACCGACGCAAATGCCGGCCCGGAAAGGTCAGGGTGCAACATTTCCAATTGTCTGTCTGGTCAACTGTTGTAGTTGTTGTAGTTGTAGCATATGAGCATACATATTATATATATCTATATATATTTAAATAAATCCATGATTATTTTAATGCCAACGAATATCCGTTTCCGCCTCTTCTTCTCCAGGCCGATGCCAGTTTGGGCATGCATGAGCGCGAATACATACAGGAGTCGCTCAGCTATGTGCTGCGCATCCAGGAAGTGCAGGAACGCATCAAATTTGAATTCGTCGAAATACTGCTGGCCTTCATATCCGGCTGGCTAGTATTCTATCACACCGCCCACGAGCAAGCCGAAGACCATCGCGACTATCTGCAGGATCTGAGGCACAAAGTCCAAAAGGTAACTCCCTCCCCTCCCCCTATCCTCAAATTACGAAATAATATTTTTAATTCATTTTTTTTTTTTTTTTTTGTGTACGTTTCTTCGCAGACTCGCGAAAATTTTGAGGAAGCTAGCGAAAAGGTCACCGAACTAAAGACCAAGTACATGGAAAAGCGTACGGTAAGCGATAGAATACATTGGCAGAATGTTAGTAAAGCTTCAATTTGCCATTTTCATTTACAGAAGTCCGATGAGATTTTCACCAAACGCGGTTATTTGTTTTTGATGGAAAAGAGTGAGTTTTTTTACTGTGACAATCGCACAAAATATCGGCAAAAGACTAAGTCATTCGCAATGAGGCAGCATCCCAGTTAATTCATAGTTCAAAGCAATTAGAAAAACAATTTCCATGCACATTACAAAAAGAAAGGCGACTGCCGCCAAGTGCAGCACATCTAGCATTATTTGATTATCATGAAATACAAAAGGGCTTGAACGTATTTGCAGAGTTCAAATCAAGCTCATGTTAGCTAACAGAAAGTTGAAATACATTATGATGTTTTAACATGGGGAAAAACTGCTTGTCAAACACTTAACAAATAGCACAAACTGTCTGACAAATCTTGACAAGCTAACTAATTGTTTAAAGTGAATTTATCAACATGTTAAACTGTTTGTTAGCCTGACAAGAGACTGCCAACTCATTGCCAATGACATTAGCTGTGAGTCATTTAAATGTTAAATGTTGTCTTATGCTGTTGCTTAATTCAATCTAACGATAAATGTTTTGCTCCTCCCTGTTTGCCCGTCTATCGAAAACTATCGAATCGGCCCATTAACGATCTATTTTTTTCGAAATCTTAACAACAACCCGTCTTCTGCACTAATACACTGCCAATTATTTATGGGTCTACTCTTATTGTGTGTATTTTTGTTTTCTATTTATTTTCTATCCCCCAAAATTTTTTTTATAAAAAAAAAACCCCCTTTGTTTTTGGGAAATTCTGTGATCTCTAATCCGTGTGCTTTCGGTATCAACTGCAATTGTGACACTGCAACCAAAAATCCACCCAAACAACCAAACAACACCCACCCAACCAACCAACCAACCAATCAATCAACCAATCAATCAACCACAACCACACACTGATATCAACTGCCTGTCAACTGCAATCTGCAAACTGCAAACGATTCTTAGGTTCCCTTCTGAAAATCTCACTTTTAGAGCCTTTTAAAGCAACATGGACGAAATACTATTGCACATTCAAGAAGCAAAAGCGCGAATTCACAATGCTGCAGTTCAATCAGATGAATCACAGCTTTACGCGACCCGAGGCGCGTGAGGACGAGAAGCTGACACTGTTCTCGTGCCAGCGTCGGGCCTCCGAGTTCGAGAAGAGGTTCTGCTTCGATCTAACATTCAAGGAGAAGCCGGGCATTGTTTACACATTTCAGGCGCTAAGCGAGAAGGACCATCGCTCCTGGCTGAGCGCCATGGATGGCACGGAGCCGGTAAGCATCAATCATTCAAACAATCATCAATCATTCAAACAATCTCAATCCCCTGTTGCAGACATATCTGGTGCCCGGCAAAATGAAGGCCAATGAGGCCTATCAATTGGATGAGACTGGCTTTATGTTTGTGCGTCGGTGTATCCAAGTTCTAGAGGGACGCGGTCTCGAGGACGAGGGCATTTATAGAAAAAGCGGCGTCGGCACGAAAATCAACAAACTGCTCTCCCTCGGCATGGAGCGCAAGGAAACGGATGATGTATTCACCGATGACAAATATCGCGATCTCATGGAGAGCAACACCATTGCCAGCGCCCTGAAAATGTATCTGCGCAATCTGAACGAGCCCCTCATGACCTATCACTATCACAGCGGCTTCATCGAGGCAGCCAGTAAGAGTTCACACTGTATAGACCTTATGCCCTATTCATGCCCCTCTCTCTCTCTCGTTCCGCTCACAGAGAAAGAGAGCCTCAATCAGCGCGTCAACGAGGTGCACAAATTGGTCTACAAACTGCCGCAGCCAAACTTTGAAATGCTGGACATGGTCATCAGGCATTTGACTGAGTGAGTAAACCAATAATTAACCATTATTAGACATATCATTAGAGAAGGAACTTGTGGCTATTAAGAAAGGCATTCACATACATATTTTTATACACTGAACCCATTGAAAATGGGTAAAAAGGGTATTATGTATTTGTGCAAATGTATGCAACAGGCAGAAGGAAGCATCTCCGACCCCATAAAGTATATATATTCTTCATCAGCATCAACAGCCGAGTCGGTCTAGCCATGTCCGTCTGTCCGTCCGTCCGTCCGTCCGTCTGTCCGTATGTATAAACGCAAGGATCTCAGAACCTATAAGAGCTAGAGACTTGAAATCCCGACTAGAATCTCTTACTTGTTTTTTATTATATACGAGGGTCATTTAGAAGCAAAATGGTTCCGTAGGTTCAACTCTTTAGATTTGGCATGTGAGCCTAGTTTTCCACATATATGAATCAAGATATTGGTTCAAACCTTAGTTCCTTCTATTTTTGCCTATTTCAAATTAAATATATCAGCTTATTATCATTATCATTGTATCATTAAGACAGTCTTCTCAACTAGTCAAGCATTATTATTATCAAGTATTCTTGCTCTTAGTCCGGTCCGTGCCTTCTTCTATGCGTATATAGATTCTGAATAATTTAAACCTGTCCAGCATATTATTAACCATATTGCTTCCATTCGGTTTCAGAGTCTCGCGCAAGTACGAGAAGAACAAAATGTCTGTGTTCAATTTGGGCGTGGTCTTTGGGCCGACTTTGCTGCGTCCGCTGGAGGAGACGGTCGCCGCCATACTGGACATCAAGTTCAACAACATTGTTATCAACATACTCATCGAGAACTATGAGCGCATCTTCAAGAATGATCCAAGCAGCGGGGTTGCGACCGCAGTGAATGCTGCTGTTACCGCTGCCAACCTGCATCCCAGCAGCACCAGTCCGCCGACGAGAATGCCGCGTGCCTCGCAGGTGGGCAAGGCCGCCTCCACGGGCGGTGGCGGCGGAGGCAGCGTCGGCGGCGGCGGCAGTGTAGGACGCAGCTCGATGTATTCGCCGCAACAGAAGGTGTACCGTGTGGTGGCCAAATCCAATTATCCGGAGCCCACCATGTCCTCCAGCTTGCAGAATATTCCAAATGGCATGATCTATGCGCATGGGCCGGCCAGCGCAAGCAGCAGTACTCCGCCAGGCGGCGTTACCAACAGCAGCACCAATGGCGGAGGCACTGGATCCACGTTGACGGTGTCAGCGCATGCCACAAACGGTGCACGGCCTGCCCAGATGGGCAGCATGAAAAACCTGCACGCCATGACCCAAAGCGACATCAGTGGACGTCGCGGCGGCGGCGGCGCTGGCACGGATGCGGCAGCTGCCGTTTATGGCATACTGGGCGCCGGCGCCAATACCAATGGTGGGGCGGGGCTGCAGGCGCATCATGCGACGCCGGCAACAGCCAGCAGCAATCTGCGGCATGCCGATTATTTAATGGCCACGGCCACGCCAGTGGCACAGTCTGCATCCAGCAGCCATATTTATACGAACGCCAGCAGCAATCGTCTCAGCCTAAACAATGTCTCCCCGCCCACGGCCGCCATGCGCAAGGAGCGCCAGCTGCAGACCTCAGGCAGCAGCAGCGCCGTCGTCGGAAGCGGCCCCCAGCAGCATCCGCCCGTTCAGCGCAGCCACTTTGGCTATGGCCAGGCGAAGCACTATTCGCCCGTGGCAGCCGCCTCCACATCCAGCTCCAATGAGAGCGTCTGCGATTCACTTTCCTCCAACAATGGACTGGTTGGTGGTGGAGGTGCGGGCGGAGTCGGTGGCGGTGGCGGAGGAGGGGGAGGCGGCACTGGAGGCGCTGCTCTAATCTCTGGCGGCAGCAGTGCCAATGTGACGCGTCTGTTAAACGCGCGCAGCTCCATTGATTATCCGCCAATCACATCGCAGGCATCGTCACTGTCCACGCTGCTTGGCTCCACCTGTGATGACATTGTGACGGCCACCGCGGCGCCATCCATGATCGGTGGCAGCGGCCTGGGGAACCTTAGTGGCAGCGGCTCCACCAACGAGAGCGCCGACTATGCGCCAACCAAAATGCATCGCAACCGTGACATTAACCAAATCAAGCGCGATCTATCCGCGGGCACGGCGTAAGTTCATATTGTGAAAGCAGCTCCAAAAGCAGCTTCTGCAACTTTTTGTGCCGACATAGTTCTATTGAAACTAAAAACGCTTGAGCCGGACAAAGCCGACTAATCTAATGTAACTCGAATCTAATCAAGATCACATTTACTCATAATTATTATCTCATTACAGACGCGTTCGTACTTTATATGCCTGTATGGGCGAGAGCGAGGGCGAGCTATCCTTTGAGCCAAATCAGATTATAACCAATGGTAAGCGCACGATATATCCAGTGGGAATCCATGGGTAACATATTGCAATACCAATTGCTAATTACTAATTCCAATTCGCAGTGCGCTTCTCACACGAACCGGGCTGGCTGCAAGGCACGCTGAATGGCAAGACGGGTCTCATACCCGAGAATTACGTGGAGCATCTGAAGCCATACCACTAGAGTTGGGTTGACATTCTGTTTGCCGCTCTTAACCCAAAACCCGACTCCTCCGTCTCCTCCACCCGTAACTGCGTTTAGCCTAGTATTGTAAGTCCGCATTAGCCTACAGCTCTGCATAGTTGGGGCGCTATCCAAAATCACAACTGTAAAATTGTATAAAACTGAAACTGAGAGAGGAAACTGCAACGGCGGCGCAAATATAGCTGATGCTTAAATGGGTATAGTTATATGTATGTATATGCATACATATATCAAGTATATATCCATATATATATTAATATATATATGTATGCAGTCTGCTTATTCTATTGTTTAATCTTAATCGTAGCTTTAAGCCTTATGTGAAGTGTTAAGTCTAAGCCATAAAAGCCACCAGTTTACTTTAGTAATTTACTGCAACCAACAACAACAACAACAACAACCACAACAACATCAACAACAACAACAAACAACAACAAGAGCGATCGTTACCAATCTTCATCTAATTCGTCTTCGAATTTTAATCGCTTGATTAAGTTAGTCTTAACCCACTCAGCCATTGAGAGGGGATCCTCGCGGATTCTCAATCCTTGCCACTGCTTGCTTCAAGACTTCATTTTTGCTTCACAGTGAAGACCTGATTTTGAACCTCAATCCAGGCTAAACAATCCTTTAATTTCGTTATTTACCCCTACCATTCCTTCCCCCTTGTCGCCTCTCACATCTCTAGACTCTGACGATTCATCTGCAGCCTTCCTCTCATCGTACAGTTTCTTCCCCTTATCCATATATATGATAACAGCATTTATGGAGACAGGCGCAGATGAGTCTGTTTTACAACACAAAAGCATTGCGAGATCACATCACGCATCGAACACCATCATATCTGAGAATTACAGTTACCGAGCGTTGATCAGACGCAATGCCAAAACCAACCATCTATCGTTCCCACAGCTAGTCTTGACCGGATCGAAAAGAGCGGGAAGCGATGGTCCATCAGTTTCTCTAAGTGTGATCAGATCAATTGCTGATATAGTACCGGTCGACATAGTTTTTCTTTTACGAGGTCGTTTCCGCTGACCTTTCTTCTGTCAAGGGTTTTTTTTTTGCGAATTGATAAAGGAATTGAGTTAGGGAGTTCATCTCCTCGGATTATGTATTGTACTACATAGGGACATAGATTGTCATAAGTAATCGAACCGACTTTGGGGATTGTCAAAGGGAGTTTTCCTGGATTGTGTTTCCATGCAGGCAGCTTCAAACAAGCTTTAGTTTGTTCCGAGTAGTTCGAATTACCAATCAGAATATGAAATTGTATAAAGAATTAAAAGAAGAAAGGGGAAAACTATGTTAAAGTTGGCGAACGAGACGCACAGAAAGCGGCAAAGTTGAGAGTAAATTAATCGATATGCAACTATAACTATAACTATATAACTATATGCTTACCCTATATATATTATATATATTGTATATATATATATATATACATATATATATACTATGAAATACATTTGAAAAGTAAAGAAAAGAACCCCCAAGTAACGGCAAAAGTTAATTAATTTATTGTTGTACGCTTGTATTTGTTGCTTAATTATAAACAAAACTTTTTTTTATTTGTTTACCTTTAAATGTATATAATCTAATTAATAATGGAAAACAAGAAATATGAATATACTTAGCTGTAAATTGTACACATTTGCACACACGAAGAAGGCAAAGAGCTGCAGTTAAATATTTCAAATCAAAAATATATATGTATATATAAATACATATATAAATAAATATATATATATTAAACAGAAAATAAAACACACACGCACACACACACACACATACACAACAACAACTACAACTACAACTACAACAAAAAAAAACTACCCATTTTGTAAAGAACAACCTTTTTACAAGTGAATGTAAATCAAAAGCATATGCATTTACAATTATGTAAACAATAAAACAACTAAATATGAGCGAGAAGACATTTAAATTCAATTGGTTTGTGAGGCAGCAGGAGAGCAGCATAAATGCAATGCGATAAGATCCTTGATTTGAATATCAGTAATTATGTATATCTATAGATCAGTACATAGAGTCGTCCATTTAATCGCTGGCACAGCCGACAACCTACCGCCCAATACATTCCACATGCTTAACCCCAGATACCAGCCAGCCACAATTATATTATATAAAGAATACTTCGCGTTTATCTCGTTTCCAATGCAAAGGAATTAAACTTTACGAAGCTAAAATACAACTAACCATATCAAATGCACAACGACACATGTCAAGTGACTGCAAAACAATTAAAGCCCGCAATTTAGAAACCCACCAAAAAATCAATATACATACATATTTAACAAGAATATAACCCAAGCATTCCATTAAACATACACATGTACAAGAACACACACACACACACACACACACACACAAACACAGACACATCGCACACTTTAATAATACCATATACATGTTTATTTAAACAAAATATTTTTGTTAACATGTTGCCAAAAATGAATAAACAAACTGCAAAACAAAGTAATAAATTAATAAAAGCATATTTATAAAACATAAATATTACATTAATCCAATTGTTTTTATACAAATGGGATATACATATGTATGTATGTATGTACATTATAATGTGACCCAAAATTCGCTGCGTAATTATTTGTTTAGATGTAAGAGCAGATAAGACGCAAGGAGCGCAAAGATTTTATTTTAAGCTACTTAGTTAATAATCTGAATCGCACGGAGCGTCGTAAATAAATTTTAAATTAATTAACCGCTTAAATAGTCGTTAATTTTGCAGTGAGGAACAAATCCTGACCGGTCGTAGTAAACAAAAAAGTCACAGCAGAACTAGCAAGTTTAGTAGCATTTAGCAATGGATCGCTAGCCTATTTCCCACCACCAGGGGAAAGGTTGAGGTGGAAATGGTAAACGTGGTAGAAATGTTGTGTGAAACAGCCGAAGAGAAGGGATGATAATAATGGGTAATTGTATATTTTAGTTCCTTCAGGCAGGTCTAAATGGACGGGCTCTTATTTTGTTTTAAATGGCTTAGTTTTGTGTTTCGTCGAATCGTTTCCCGGCGGTTTAATTTAGTTATTATGTGTATTGCCTAAAATATTAAGGAAATATATGTAACTCGCCGAACAGTGATAATTAAGTACATGTTTCGAGATGAGCGTTCCATCATTGTTTACTATCGCTCATACTTCGTATAAAAGACGTGAGGTTATATTGATAATAGTTTGCCATGTTCGCGGTGCTTGCGTCTCGTGCATCCAAGCTTAAGCCCTGTTCAGCTGAAGGTAAATGCTCGTTAATGTGCTTTCGGACAGATTGACATGGTTACATCGAATCGGCTTTTGATGCTGGTCAATATGTTTTTTTTTTCTGTGTTGCACATTTCGTGACAAAAGACTGGCACTTTATTTAATCACTTTCTCTATGGATAAGAAATAAAATGCGCAAATATTGCTTTCCGGTACAAAATATTTTGTTCCAGTAACAACCGTAAATACAAATTGCAGCACCGTTATAACCTGATTTTCAGTCGCCGTCGTTAGACAGCTGTTTGCGTTGGTGTTGCCGCCATTTGCTGAGCACAGCTGTCGTTGCCTAGCGTATCGTTGCCACATGTTCGACAGAAGCACGACAACTGAAATTCATTTAAGTGGCATTTAAACAGCATTCATTGATTTAATATTGTTGTTGAGTGCGTTCTTTTTTATTGTGTGCTAAACTTTAACCAATGCAACATTTTGGTAGGGCCTCGGATCACATTACCTTTGGCGCCAAAAAAAATTTCCCCGCACACAATGTAAAGCTATCTGGCAACCTTATGACTTCCCGCCTTTTTATTGTAAGTAACTATTTGGCCGCAGAATTAATAAATACGTCGCAGTGTTGCCGTGCATGTTTTACAAACAGCAGATATAAAAATAAAACTAATAGAAAGCAAAAACACATCACGTATTTCGTTAAAATAAATCACCGTGCCACGAAAAATCTAACAAATTCAATGCGCCCGCTGCGCTGCGAAAAAGTAAAAAGTTCAGTCGTCGACATTTCGTCTTTGTTGTTGTTGCTGCAGTCGCGCGCTCATTTGCCGAGTTGAACCCGCGGCCGCGCCCGCTGCTGCTGCTGCCGTCAGCAGCAACGTTTAGTTCTAGCCAAAAAAAGAGTAGTGAAAAATTTGCATTTGCAGTTGCAGTTGCAGTTGCGTTCAAGTTAAAGTCGAAGGCGGCAACAACAACATGAGCAACGATGTGCAAGAGCAGGAGGTCGGCGCTGAGGTGGTGACCAGCGCCGGCGCTCCAGTTGACGATGGCCTGGAGACGATGCGCTGCAAATTTGAGAATCTGTGCCGTGATCTAAATATGGATCGTCAAACCGAAGTCGAGGCCTTTAGAATGCTCAACGAAGTGCAGGAGCATTATTCATTGGAGGTGCGTACGTAACGCGCATAATTACATACATATGTGTGTGTGCATGTGCATACGTACATATGTACATATATGCGCATAACGCAGTACACTAACACAAATTGCATTTGTATACTTTATTGTTTATTTATTGTTTGCGTTGCAGGGGGAGATCTTGCACTGGTTCTGTTGCGCTCTGTTCGCGGCCTGTCGTCAATCGACAACGCCCACTGTGGGTGGCCAGGATGCAGTCGTTATGGGCAATTGTGTGCCATTGAACAATTTGCTACGCAGCTGTCAAATGAGGTGCGTAATGGAAATGATGTGTGGCATTACCCCACTCACTCACTTAACTCCCTTGTCTTTTAGCATCTACGAGTTTAAGCAAAAGATCAAACTATGGTGCGACATGGCCAATTTGCCGCAAGTCTTTGTACAGCAAATGGAGGAGCTGGAGCGCAAGTTTAGCATCACATTCACAATCTACAAGCGATACAGAAATATTTTCGAGCAATTGTTTATCTGTCCGCCCAACGAGAAGAAACACTCGAAAAACAGGTGTGTGCCGTACGCCTTCGAATGCCTTCTTATCCCGGTAGCTAGCGTCTTTAGTCATGCCTTATATCGTTTTTAGCCCTAAATGCACCTACTCTAAGCTGGATAATATATCGTGGCGTCTGTTTCTATGCGCCAAGAATCAGAAGCCAACGAGGACCCTTGATTTGGTCACAACGTTCAACCTAATGATATGCTGCCTTGATCTCATCTACGCCAATGTGCTGGCCGAGAAACGCACTGATCTCATCAACCCGAACTTTAAGGGCCTGCCGCCGAAATGGAACACGCCGGACTTTGACGAGACCCAAGCCCGCAAACATTGCATACTCGACTTCTTCTGCGATATGAAGGCCGATGCCAAAGAAATAAAGGCGAAGGGCTTCATCGAGATTATTCACAGCTTCTTTCAGACGAACGTAACACAGCTGCTAACCAGCGATTTTCCTAAATGTGGCTAACAATTTATTATGCATTGCAGACAA